AGCACTACAAAAAAGGGCCTGGAGATAGTAGAAACAAAATTCAGCACATTTTCAGGGGACAGTGACAGATGGCATGTGATAAGGTCAGGTAAGTGTGATGTGGCCAAACTTGAACTGTCAAAAGAAGTTGCTCCTAATTTTGTACGTGCATAAATTACATTTGTCTTTTCTTGGTAGAAGAGCAATAAGGGACTGAATTACAAAGACACTCTTTTAGGAACTTTAACCTAGGAAAGCAATGTTCATTGCATGACAATGACCTGAAATTACCTTATTTATACATTCAGCAGATAAGGTCAGTGTTTAAAACTGCAAGTAATGAGGCCAGAGACAGTGTCACACACATGTACTGCCAACACTTGGGAGGCAGAGGTAGGAGGATCAGGAATTCAAGGTCATCCTCAGCTACATAGTGAGATTAAAGCCAGCCTGAGCTTGAGACTCTGTCTCAAAAAACAACAAAATACAAGTAATGAGTGACATTTATTTTTAAAATGTTTTATTATTTTTATTTTATGTATATGAGTGTTACGTCTGCATGTATGTAAGTGCACCCATGTCGTGCAATGCCTGTGGAGGACAGAAGAGGCTGTTGGATCCCCTGGAACTGGAGTTATGGACAGTTGTTAGCTACCATGTGGATGCTGGGATTTGAACCTAGGTCTTCTGCAAGAACAGTCAGTGTTCTTAACCACTGAGAAATCTCTCCAGCCCCCATGAGTGACTTTTTTAAAAAAAACTTAGATCTGCTTCGGAAGATAAATATTGAAAATAGCAATTCTGGGGTCTGGAGAGGTGACTCAGCAGTTAAGAGCACTGGCTGCTCTTGCAGAGGACCTGGGTTCAATTCCCAGCACCCACATGGTTGCTAACAACTGTCTGTAATTCCAGTTTCAGGGGAATCCAATGCCCTCTTCTGACTCCAAGGGCATTGCACCATTTGAGTGCACTTACACACATGCAGGCAATATACTCATACACATAAAAATAATAAATAAGCTGGGTGTGGTGGCGCACACCTTTAATCCCAGCACTCGGGAGACAGGCAGGCAGATCTCTGTGAGTTCAAGGCCAGCCTGGTCTACATAGTGAGTTCCAGGACAGCTTGGGCTACAGGGAGACCCTGTCTCAAAAAGACCAAAAAATAAATAAATAAAAATAAAAATACTAAATAAAATTTAAAAGACAATATCAATTCCAGAATAAGATCAATATATTTGCTCTCCTAAACATGTTATAGATATTGCTGATTAATGATATTTTTTGTTTTTGAGACAGGGTCTCCCTGTAGCCCCAACTGGTCTGGATGGAGCTCGCTATGTAGACCATGCTGGCTTCAAACTCACAGAGTTCTGCCTGCTTCTGTCTCCTGAGTGCTGGGATTAAAGGTATGTGCCACCACACCGGTTTTATTACTTTTATTTTATGTGTATGTGCCTGCATGTAGGTAAGTGCACCCATGTCATGCAATGCCCGTGGAGGTCAAAGAGGGCATCGTATCCCCTGGAACTAGAGTTACAGACATTTGTTAGCTGCCATGTAGGGTGCTGGGAATTGAACCTGGGTCCTCTGCAAGAACAGCCAATGCTCTTAACCACTGAGCCATCTCTCCAATCTCTGAAGACATTTAAAAAAAAATAATAGCTGGGTGTGGTGGCACATGCCTTTAATCCCAGCACTCAGGAGGCAGAGGCAGGCAGATCTCTGTGAGTTCGAGGCCAACCTGGTCTACATAACGAGTTCCAGGTCAGCTGGGGCTACAGGGAGACCTTGTCTCAAAAAGACAAAAAAAACAAAAAAACAAAAAAAACAGACTGAGGGTCTGAGGCAGGAGGATCACTTGAGCCCAGCAATTTGGGACCAGGGTAGATAATACCAAAAGACCCAATCTCTTAGAACAGCAAATTAATCATAAAAGCTAATGATAAACATGAATTGGTTTAATTCAAAGTTGATCATATCTGCTGATAAAGCAGGCTTCTTTGGGAAACACTGTTAATATGATAGGTGCAACTGTGAAACAACAGAATATATTATAAACAATTTAAAAATGCACAACTAACACAAAAGTCAGTACAAAACACATTTAATTATTTGTGATAGGTGCAATAGGGTAGCTTTCTTGTCCTTTTCATTAAAAACTGTTTTACCTTTTTGCTGTAGCAATATATCCATCAAACTAATTCCAAAAGTATGAAGTAACAAATGCTTCATTAGATCAAAGAACCCATTCTAAAATGTCACATTTTTAGAAATTAAAGTTTCAACCCTACAAAGGTCGACCTGGTGACAAATTTTTGCCAGAAGCATGCATCCGAATAATGTTAGAGAGGTATAATACTTAGGGTTCTTTGGTCTTTTTTTTGGTCTTTTTGAGACAGGGTCTCCCTGTAGCCCAAGTTGTCCTGGAACTATGTAGACCAGGCTGGCCTTGAACTCAGAGATCTGCCTGCCTCTGCCTCCCGAGTGCTGGGATTAAAGGCCTGCGCCACCACATGCTTAGTTTTTATATCATTAATTCTAGTTGTCAAAACCTCTTACACTATATGTAAAGGTCGTGTCAAGTTGAGTTACCTCCCCTCATTTTTTTGAGACAGAGTCTGCTGTAGCCCTAAGCTGGCCTCAAATTCACTATACAGTCAAGGATAATCTTAAACTTCTGATTCTCCTTCCTCTACCCCTCCAGGGCTTCGTTCATTTTAAACAAGCACTGTATCAGCTGAGCTACATCCCTAGCCTCTCTACCTTATTTTTACAGTTACTCTTCATGGGTATAGATCACCAGAGGCATTAACCTTTTGCAAGAAATGATCCTGTAATAGTTTCTATTATGTAATAAGCAAACAATTGAAAAACAAAAGTACTGTACAATGATGATTAATACACGACACTATGATAATTAGTATCCACAATGATGGTCTTGCATTAGCCAACAAAGATTAAATCCTTCTCTGGATAGTTTTTTTAAATTATTTTTAAAATTTTTATTTATGAGTATATTGCCTGCATGTATATTAGTGCACCCATGTCATGCAATGCCCACGGAAGTCAGAAGAGGGCGTCAATCCAGCAAAACTGGGATTAAGGATCGTTTTTGGCTGAAACGTGGGTGCTGGGAATCAAACCTGGGTCCTCTGCAAGAGCAGCCAGTGCTCTTAACTGTTGTGCTATCTCTCCTGCCCCCGGATAGTTTAAATATTGAATAGTATAATCAAGGGTTTTAGAAATGGGTGACCCACATGTATGATAAAGGACTATAAATACATCTCCTAACTAAGATTATTAATTAGGAGACTGTATTTTGAGTAACTTGAACCTGGCTGAGCAATCACATTCCAGTTGGCTTCCAGACATATCATTGAGGCACTGAATTGCTTTTTTTCTTAGTGGAAATGGATTTGGTCACATTTGTCTCTTGCTATAGATCAGTTTCACATGCAAGATGGCAAGCTCCTGTTTGCTGCTGAAATCCCTGACTTTGATGGCATCAACAATATATGTTGATGCTATTGGCATGTTAGTGCTACCTTCACCTATGAAATGTGTGGGACAGAGATAAAGTCCTAAAAAAAATAAATAAATGGGTGATCTTTACTTTACTGCATGCAATTTGTATTTAATTTTAGTTGATTTCATACAAATGCTCAACCTGAAAGTCACTTTTGGGAAACGAAATACAGGTCTTGACTAAGTTGTGCGATGCTTAGTAAGCCTTGGGAAACTGCCTTATGATACCATAAAAAAGTTATGTTCATTTATCATCTTCCAAGCATAATCTAGGTTTCTGGCAAATTAGACCCAACCACTTTGTTCTACATTCTCTTTGCAGGGGGTTGTAAACTCTCCTTAAAGTTTTCAATTCCATTTGAAATTCTGCCATTCTGACTCTATGAAGGTCTCAGAGACCCAGGCTCTAAGGGGTTTATGCCATGTCCTTAGTGCCCTCCCCTTTTGCTGGAGCTGCCACCACTAGTTTTCCCCCCTCTCAAATTCTCTGTATGGCCCTCTTCCGCGAAGGACCTTCCTCATTGGCCAGTCAAACACAACCGACTGTGGCAGCCAATGGGATCCGCTCTCCTGAACATTCAGAGGATGGGTGCTCGTGGTGTGATGGGGGAAGGTTGGCGCCTGGTACGCGCCCCCCCCCACATCTGGCAAGTCTTTGACAGAAACAGTAACACCCCCTACACGCGCACACCCGTGCCCACTGTGCCTCCTTTCAGCTTTGCGGGGGCCCTCCACAACCTGGTGTGTGTCATGGCATCGCCCTCCCGAGTTCCTTGGACTCCAAGAGTGCACCTGCTTGCTCGATAAGACTGAATGTCTCTTTATCCTAAGACTGGGGAGGCGGGTGGCACGGGGAACCACGGAGGCGCGGCGCAGCTTTCTGCCTCTTTAGAGGTGAAAGAGGTATCTCTGACCCCCACTCCAGCCCCACTGGGTTGTGTTGCACAGGGGCCAAAGTGCTCCAGTGATGCCTTAAGGGACAGCTCTCTTTGTCCTCCCCAGCTGTGTTCACTGTCCACTGACCCTATGCACTCTAAGCAAGTGGGGGTGGGACACTTGAATCCCATGGCATAAATGGGGACAAGAAGAAAGGAAGTCTATCCTGGGGTGGTGTGTGCCACTCTCCTCACCCCTTCCCTCTCGTTCTCTGACTTCCTCCCTCCAGTGTGTCCCTAGGGTCCAGACAGGGCAGGGTCTAGGCGAAGCGGTGGCACAGGATCACAAGCCGGAGCCTCTGGTCCTGGGGCTCACACACAGGCAGAAAGAGAAGGCTCAGGGCTTGCCTGTTCTCCATTCCTCCTCTTCTTAGCTTTTGTGTAGGTGCCTCGGAGCTGTCAGGAGGGTGCACTGGAGAAAAAGGAGGGGTGCCTGGGGTGAGAAGCACCCTCTTCACGAGCGCGCGCACACGTTACCGGTGCTCGCACACACGGGTGGACACACACAAACGCGCGCGGGCGCGCGCTCGCGCACACACACATACACACACACGCGCACACACACACGCACACACACACACACACACACACGCACAAAGCTCGCTCGCCTTGAGCGCACTAACGTGGCCGCTTTCTTTGTGTGGAGCCCTCGAGTAGGGTTGGGACCCCCGGTCTGGTCCCAAAGAGATGGCGCAGCCCATCCTGGGCCATGGGAGCCTGCAGCCAGCCTCAGCCGCTGGCTTGGCATCTCTGGAGCTCGACTCATCACTGGACCAGTATGTGCAGATTCGTATCTTCAAAATCATCGTGATTGGGGACTCCAACGTGGGCAAGACCTGCCTGACCTTCCGCTTCTGCGGAGGTACTTTCCCAGACAAGACTGAGGCCACTATCGGTGTAGACTTCAGGGAGAAGACCGTGGAAATCGAGGGCGAGAAGATCAAGGTGATCCAGGCGGTCAGGTCCGGGAAGGGAGGGAGCTGGGAGGGGGTTTCGCCAGAGGTAAAGCTTTAGTCGTAATAAATGTCTAGCACTGGCTGTGCCGCCACCTGCTAAGCTCAAGACCCTGGGCTCCTCACCCCTTTTAAGCCTCTTTCAGTGACTCCATTCCCTCTTAACCCAATTTTTCTGACAAGCTGGAGTGGTTACATTCTTACTCTTTGCCCATGCCTGACAGTTCTAGCCAGGAAAACCATGTTTGATCCCATCCTTGACCCGAAAACAGAGAAGCGGCACGTCTAGCCAGAGGTCGCTCAGTCCAGTCTTGTGGGATGGATTCCAAAGCACTTTACACATCTTGAGGTCTTTTCTATCTCATGGGTGCCAAAAGGCTGCAAAAAATCATGTTGGTTAAGCCCTGTGACATTAGAAGGGTTGGAAAGGATGGAAATTCCCAGAGAATGAAAGCTGTTTTATTTTCAATTGCAGTTTGCAGTTAAGATTAGGGCTGACATGGGATGGGGGTGGAGTGGGAGTTGGTTATGGCACAAAGCCATGAGCCCTTTTAAAGATTGAGACAGTCACCTGCTGGGTCTTCATAATTATCAAGACTTGTTCTTGGGGGCAGTCCCTCTCAGATGGCCTCTTCGTTACTTGTCTGGGGAAACCTAAGGAATGAACTGCCCATTACTCACCCTGCTGGCATTGTCTTCAGAAAGCCTATTGTAAAAATGTAGAGCAACTTCTCTGAGGGCCAGGGGAAGTGCCTTGACTCCCTCTCCATAGTTTATTAAATGGGTTAAGTACAAATATTTTTGTATAATGACGTGTTCACGTTTAGTGCAGTGAAGGTAGAAATTCAGTAAGACAGGAATATGTCAGTGTGCAGGGGCTGGCAGTGGGAGGATATGGCAAAAGTAGCTTTGTGTGTCATCAGAGGCAAGAGAGGCAGGGCACAGAGAAGAGAAGCTTCTGAAAAGACACTAGGGGTACTGAAGACCAATTCCTCTACACTCACAGTTGGCCTTTTCTTGAGCCTATAGTTGGGCCCCAAGGAGGGTCAAGGTGAAGGCAAACCTCTTGCTTATCAAAGAGCTGAAGTGACCACAAGGCCTCTCTTCCAAGTGAAGTAGAAAGAAGAAGTGAGAAACTGGGGAGATGATGAAACATCCCTAAACTGTACAAGACTCATTGATGATTAAAATGACTGCATTATAAAATGGCTTCAGAAAACAGGCCAAGACACTAGACTTCAGGAAGATGGTCACTCAGCACTGATAAGGGAGAGCCTTGGGTCAGGGAGATAGTGGATTCTTTTGACCTTGTGATCTTTTTAGGCTCCTTGCAGTTCTGAGGAGTGGGGGGTTGCTACATATCCTTTTAAAGACAATGTAGGTATCTGCCCCTGTCCTTTCCAAGGATTCTTATGTTCAATGTTTGCAGGGGTTAGGACTTCCTCTACTGTGTCTAGCTTCTTTAATGTATCGCTGTAAGATTCTGCAAAGTCTAAAACATGAATTTTTTTCCAAAGTAGAAATAAATGAATGTATGTGTTTTGTAAACACCTTCAAAACCCTTCAACTTTAATGCTATCATTTGTTTAGAATCAAGTGTTACAATGAGCCAATGAGTACCCTGGACTTAAAAGGGAGAAGAGTGGTACACCCATCTGAGATTTGAGTGAAGGAAAAAAAGGAAGTGTTTGTGAGTCTAGGGGAAGAGGGAGATGGAGGGAAGAAGACAGGGGGGAGGAGGTGAAGAGTGGCTGGAATCCTCACCCAATGGCCTTAGGGAGGTTTTTAATCCTTCTCCCCTTCTACCACCTCTGTACTTAGCCAAACTGGGTTTCACAGTCTCTGCCAAAGATCCCAGACTTTACCAGAGGGCAGAGCCTGTGACAGTGTGACTCACTAGAAACAGAGCTCAGCATGCAGATAAGTGCTTAATATGGACTTTTGGGGGAAGATGATATTTTCAAGAGGACAAAGCCTTAGGACATGGTTCAAGAAGGAACCCTCTGAGGGCAGACGCTGCAAGAAATTTCACTGGAGTGTGGGAGCTGGGAGATGGTGAACCTACCCCTTGTAAAGCTGCTGAAACCAAGGCCAAGGCTGATAAGACACTAGCATGTTTTCAGGAAGATGGCAGAGCATGGCCATGAACTGGCACATGATCCAGAGAAGTAGATTTTGCACCATGCTTTTACTGTTTGCAAGGACCAAGTGCCAAAACCTGATTTGGAGATGATTGCCAAAGTTAGTTTCCCTTCTGAAGAGAGAAAAAAGTGCTGAGTGACAGGCTGAGGAAGCCCTAGACCACGGAAAGCAATAGGCTGTCAGCTTAGAAAATAGCAGCCCTGGCAGAGACTGCTCAACAGGCTTTTCTCCTCAGTCCCAGAGCAGAGTGTGATCTCTCCCAGGCTGTGTCCTAGGGACAGCACATACCTATGACAACCTCTGTTGGGTGACCAGTTTGTTGTACTTGGAGCTTTATTCCTCATTTTCAGGACCATCCTTAGGGGACCAAGCCTCATTTGGTCTCTCCAATTACCATGCATCTCACAACATTTACAATCCAATAAATTCAAGAACAGTCTACAATGATTAGGAAAGAATAATACAACTTTTATTTATTTATTTATTTATTTATTTATTTATTTATTTATTGGTCTTTTGGAAACAGGGTATCCCTGTAGTCCCAACTGGCCGGGCTGGAACATGCTTTGCAAACCAGGCTGATGTTGAACTCACAGAGAACCTTCTGCTTCTGCCTCCCGAGTACTGGAACTAAAGGCATGTGCCACCATGCCCATCAAAATTTCTATTTATCAGGGATGGAGAGATGGCTCAGTGGTTAAGAGTGCATACTAGTTGGGCATGGTGGCGGACACTTTAGTCCCAGAACTTAGGGAGGCAGAGGCAGGCAGATCTCTGTGAGACTGAGGCCAGCCTGATCTACTTAGCTGGGCGTGGTGGTGCACGCCTTTAGTCCCAGAACTCTGGGGGCAGAGGCAGGTGGATCTCTGTGAGTTCAAGGCCAGCCTGGTCTTCATAGCGAGTTCCAGGCCAGTTGTGGCTACAGGGAGACTCTGTCTCAAAAAGACTTTACAAAAACCAACCAAACAAACAAAGAATGCATACTGCTCTTGCGAGGACCCAAGTTTAGCTCCCAGCATACTCAAGGGCGGCTCATAAGCCCCTCTGATTCCAGCTACAGAGGGATCTGAAGTCACTGGCATCCGCAGGACCTGCACTTACATTCATGCACATACCCACACACCATGTACAAATACACACAATTAAAAATAATAAAAATAGGGGCTAGAAAGATGACTCAGTGGTTGGGAGCACTGATTGCTCTTGCAGAAAACCTGGGTTCAATTCCCAACACCCACATGGCAGCTAACAACTGCTTATAACTCTAGTTCCAGGGGATCTGATGGCCTCCGCAGGCTCTGCATGACATGGGTATATTCATACATATTAAATATATAAATTAATTAATTAATTAAAAAATAAGGTTAAACAAAACAACTATTTAACGGCTAAACAAAGCCCAATGTTAAGCACTTCATATGTACTATCTTAATAGATACAGCAACCCTAGGAATTAAGATTTTTTTTTTGAAGCAGGGTCTCCCTGTAGCCCCAGCTGTCCTGGAACTCACTATGTAGACCAGGCTGGCCTTGAACTCACAGAGATCTGCCTACCTCTGCCTCCCAAGTGTTGGGACTACAGGCGTGCGCCACCACACCAGGCTAGGATTTTTAAATTTCTTTTTATATTTCAAAATTTTTAGAAGCTAGGCATGGTACCACATGCTTTTAATTCCAGCATTCAGGAGGCAGAGGCAGGTGGATCTCTGTGAGTTTGAAGCCAGCCTGGTCTACATAGTGAGTTCCAGGGTCTACAGGGAGGCCCTGTCTAAAAATTTTTTTCTAAGTTTTTACATTTATTTATTTATTCATTGATTTATTTAGTGTGTGTGTGTGGTCCCATGGTGTATGTGTGGTGGTCAAAGGACAACTTGCAGGAGTAGATTCTCTTCTTCAACCATGTTGGTTCCAGGGATCGAACTCAGGTCATCAGGGTTAGTGAATGAAAAGCACCTTTACCTGCTGAACCATCTTGCCAGCTCAAAATTATGATTTTTATCATTCCCATTTGACAGACAAGGAGACTGATTTTGAGAGAGATGAAATAACTTATCCAGAGGCAGAGAGATCTTTTGAATCTTGAGTCTAAGTACTTTCTCATCTCTCCTCCCTTGAGATTGCTAGGGTCTCAACTCAGATTAGAACCATGTTTTAGCACTGGCCTATACTTTAGGGAGCAATACCCAGCTCCTTAAATTGGGAGTGATAGACTACCAGGCAGCTTGTTTACTGTACTTCTAAGCAAGGGACCCAGGGCTATGGCCCAAGGATCCAGAAGCCTTTGAGTTGTCTCCTGCAGGGTTGGGGGTGTAGATCAGTGGTAGAGTGTGTGTTTAGCATACACGAGGTCCTGAATTCCATCCCCAGAACCAATAAATAAATAAATAAATAAATAAATAAATAAATAAATTGTAAATGGAACTTCTCATTAAGCAAGAAATTTCTTTTGCCTGTGCTCAGGACACTAAACTGAGTGCCTGGAGTTTGATTTTTACACCTTAGCTGTCTCACCTTGGGCACGAGAATCACAGAATGTTCAGAGCCAGAAAAGACCTTAAAGATTCTCTAATCCAAAGTTCTCATTTTACTGGTAGGAAACTGGAGCTCAGAGAGGGAAAGTAACTTGCCTAAGATCCCACAAAATCAGGCCTACAAGGAAGGTCTACTAATTCCTTTTCTGAGACTCTTTTTGGACTTCACACTGACAGGGCTGGAAAAGTACATAAATCGCAATACTTACCTGGCGGGAGAGAGACCATAATCACGAAGGTGGTTTTCCCAGGACAAGGCTTATCCATTGCACTCTGGGTGTGCTGACTCCTGTGATTTCCCCAAATGCGGGAAACTCGA